GCAAGTGTAATGATATTCACGCCTCGACTGCAATATCACCTGGAAATATAGTATCACCGACTAAGTATTTGCAGTAACTCATAAATGGACCTATCCATGCTCGCCGGTAAGTACAACAATCATTCTTCGACTATTAACCCTCGTTACCTGCTTACAATCCAGCGCTGGAGTTTTAGTAAGATTTCTTTAGGCACTTTTCGTTACGTCAGCTTCTCCGCTGCTACTACTACTAAACCAGAGTTCTGATGTCTAATCGCATTTTATATCGGGAGTATTCACTATGCTCTAACGAGTGTTCATTTATTTGTTAGATTACAGCAAGATTATCCGCGTGTTGTAACCTTGGGAATGGGTTGAAGATAGTTGACTTATGACATTTAATCATTCGAGCCGCCTCGCATTCGGCGACACTTTCTGTGGCATCCCTTGCCGTTTTGTAACCGTCTACAAAATATTTTGATTGGAACTCCCATTAGGTTCATTCATGTTCCAGTAAGGCATCAGAAATTGCATGAGCTGTTGGAATTTCTCCAGTGATTTGGCTTGGAAGACCGCGAAGCAGTTAACAGTTTGGAATTTACAGATTATGTCAAACAACTAATAATTTTTCTAAATACGGACTTTCGAGATATAGTGTGCAAAGAATTCCTGAAAAGTATGAACCTTTGACGAAGTATTTGCAGGAAAATTGTATAAATGACTGAAAGCGTCGAAAATTTTAAAAAAATCTCTCGTACTGAAAAGTTGCTCAGTTGAGGATTTCAATTTTACCGCCACTAATTAGCTCGCGGTTGTACACTATGCATGGCGGCGTTAGAACAAAGTTACAAAGTTGATTAAAGTTTAACCATCCCGACGTTTTTTGGTGAGGGGGGTGGTCAGCATAGATTTTCTGTGGCCGTCTCCAACGAACAGTGACAGGGAAGCGCTTGGGTTTGTAAATCATTGGAGAACTTCAAAAATTGCATGGCAATTTTTTTTGTTACAAAAAGAAACAAGTCAATTTTACCTTAAAATGCTCCCCGCTAGCAGAGTAGGACAGTAGAGGAAAAAAGTTGATTAAAAGTGAAAAATGAAACCCGCATACGACTTTTAGGATCACAAGAGTGATGCTGCTTTTTGTATGCTGGAAATCTGCCACGTGGGAAATAGGGTGAGAAACGGGATTTCGGCTTGCCACCGCGGTAACCTTTGATAGAGAATAAAAGAAAAGTCATAACAAATAGAATGGATCCATTCCTTTTTGCTTGTTGTTATTAAAGGTAACGACCCAAAAACCTCGAAACTTTTAGTCCGCATAGTATCTGTCTCTGGTCCCATAAAGTTTCGATGGGATTAGTAATACTGTCAGCAAAAGGCTACATGCGCGAAAGGAGCTTGGTAGTGTGGGCATCCTCTTCAATAACGCAAGAACAGCGCACAAAAATGGCGTCTAGGAAAATGCCCGCATCAAAAAGACTTTAGGTTAAGAGCGGATGACGAAAAGAATAAACTTCCATCGTAAACATGCTGCATATATATGAGCGCTTTTTTTAAACTGACGCGACCAGAAGCTATGGGAAAATAGGGTGAAATCAGCGAATTGGAAACATTGGCAGTTAGAAAAAAAACTACATAAAAAACGAAAGTGCAGGGTTATTGTGGTCTCAAGGTACTTGACTGGATAAAATTACTCCGAGAAAGAAAATTTCTGTTGATCTTGTTAATGTGAATACTCATATCCCTTTTTTACGAGTGGCCAGTCAATAGAAATGTCGCCATGCAGATATCCTTATAAAGTTAACGGATGCGTTGAAAATAAGAACAGGATTGTGCTAGATTTTCTAATCGCTTTCGATTCCTTTAACCAAATTGTGAAACACTCAGTGGCTTCTAACCCCTGATAGCAAAGGAAAGACTTGAGGACTACAGCCAAAACTCTAATCACCTAGGGGGCGAGGGCCCACTGTGCGTCATGAAGTTAATCGCCAATTTTACCTCTCAGCCGCCATGACGCAGCTTTCCAGCATCCTGGCGAATATCTGTGAAAATACACATGTAAAACTTTGCAGTTACCCTGAAACCTACTTTGTGTAGGGTATTTTCACTGCAGTACTGCATGAACACAGTAATATTGCAGCATGCAAGTCAGACAGTATCTCATTTTCTAACGCCTTCTCACTCTCTCCTTTTCTAGGATGCGCATTTGTCAAATTTTCAACTCAGGCCGAAGCCCAGGCTGCCATTGTTGCCCTGCATGGCAGCCAGACAATGCTGGTAAGTCCTGTTTAGTAACTGTAGAGCTAAAAATTAAATTGCTTTTGTCAGAAACAAAATTTAATCTTATACTTTGCATACATGTGTGCCTTGCAGTTGCATATTTCCATTTAAACTGCCCCTAAAATTACATAAACGTACACCGTGTCATTCGACATAGTCACCGCGGCAGCACAATCTCAAAAATACTGCATATTCATGTGGTAGGGGTGCACTGAACTCCTTATCCTATTCCTTCTAATGGGCAAAAACGACTAAGAGAACCACGAGGGTGGTTACCATGAAACGGTTCACAAGAAGGCGGTGCGAACGATCTAAAACTAAACCAAAAACTAAACAAAAACTAAAGTAGACTAACTATAGAAAGGTAAAATAAAATAAGGTAGACTAACTAAACTAAAAACTAACCAACGAAAAATGAAGTCGGTTAACTAAAATAACATAAACAAATCAAAAAATAATCTACCCTGCCAGCCCAATCTCCGGATCCCCCCGTCGAAATTCCGGGGAGATACGGGGTTGACGATGGGGATTCAACGGGGGTGAGGACAGGGTTTTCAACCCGCATATCCCCGTCCTCACCCGCCGTCGTCACCCCCGGATCTCCCCGTCGAAATTCCGGGGAGGGTATGCATATTATCAAATTATCCGTAAAAATAATATCGAATGTCGCCCAAAAACGAACAATAAGTTGAAAAATACTTCAAAAATGAGTTAGATTGCCTTTTAGGTCCGTCAACAATATTCTAGAAATTTCGGGTTGCGGAATAATACGTACGCCTTAGCCATCAACTTTGGATACACCCGGATCCCCCGTCGTCACCTCAACCCACTTTTGGGCCCGTGCTGGTAGGGCGGACGAGAATATCCGGGTTGAAAACCCCGTCCTCACCCCCACCGTTACCCTCGGAACCCCCCGTCGAAATTACGGGAGGATATGCCTATTATCAAATTATCCGTAAAAGTAATATCAAATGTCCCCTCTAAAACGCACTTTAAGATCAAAAGTAGTCAAAAATGAGTGAGCTTGCCTTTTACGGCCGTCTATAGCATTCTGGAAATTTTGGGTTGCGGAATAATACCTATTCCTTAAACATCAACCCCCAATACATCCGCATCCCCCCTCGTCACCTCCGCCCAGTTTTGGGCGTGTGCTGGCAGGGAATAACCCAAAACGAATAAAACATAATAAGGAACTAACAAGTAAACTAAAAACTGAAATAAATACACCTATTATATATAGGAAATAATCGTGCAAATTACTAGGTGCATGACATGAAAGTAGGTGGACGGGACATGACTTTTAAGGGTCAGA